GCACTACCCAGAAGTTGACACGTGGCACCACCAGAAAGCCGCCACATGGACCAAATCGGCGAGTAGGTGTCCCTACTCGGCGATTATGGGCCAACTCGGCGAGTAGGTGTCCCCTACTCGGCGAGTCCATCAGATATTTTCAGTATATAAAGGATGCGAGGGTGACGACAAAAATTGCTAATTTCATTCCTTTCTCGCGCCGAAGCTCTGCGTTTCAACCCTCGGAATCATCCCAAAGGCCCGACTTTCATATCCAAGGTGGGAAGAAATTTTTACACTCCTGAGACTCCCGAGATTTCCCGAGAATCTCGAGAGATCCGCTTTCTCGAGTAGAAGTTCTGCTCGGTTTTCGTCACACATTCTTCAATCAATCAGGTGAGTTCATACCCCTATAATCCACACTTTTAAATGTTTTATGAATATTTTTATATGCTTTTAAGGGGGGGGGGGAATACAAGTAAAACACACGATGATTATCGTATGTAATATAAAGTTTCGTTTTATACTTTTTATCAACGGAATCATATGTGATTTATAATCATTATAAAGAAACTTTCGTGTGCAAAATGTATCACGATAATATCATATCTTTCGGAAATTGAAAAGTGTTGTTATTTATATATAAATCAAACACTCCGCTTATACTGTATGTATATGTGTCCACCTTTGGTACTATAAACATACGATTATTTTAGTATTACAAACATACGATTATTTTGGTACGAAAAACATCAATATTTTGGGATACTTCTTGTTAATAAATCAATCATATGTGATTTATAACTAGTATACAAATAGATTCACTACAAGTTCAACAGTTTCACTAAACATATTACTTCAAATGACTTTCTTAAACGTTTTTACATGATTAAAGCTCGTTATCAAACTGTCTTACATACTGTAAGCTTCCTTTCAAAATCGGTTACAAAGGTGTTTTCAAACAATGGTTTTACGTGTACTTAAACTGTCTTATCAAACAAAATACTTTCAATCATTTTATAAACTGACATCAAGTCACAAATCTTTATTAGACTTTTCAACGGTTTTACAAAACTTCTTTATGCTTTTATATTATAAATTGCATGCCTCTATATGTATAGTTATATAAGAAATGTTTAAAAGACTTAGATAGGCTATCCACCTTATTTCCTTTTCGCGCCTTGAGATGTGGTCTGGTGGGATATTGGGTATTCGTCCGAAAGTCGTTTAAATATTAGTTATATATCATGTATACATATATGGTCATAAATGTTCCATCAGTAATTTAGTTCCGATACAAATAGATATCAATGGTGTATAAACCTACTTGGTCACTCATCAATTACATTCTAGTAAACTATTATAGGAATAGTTTAGAGTAAACAAAACATTTTTACTACTAAAAGAAATTACACCAGAGTCAGTTCATTCATGAGTCCAGACTACATGTTATATGAAGGAATACTTTTACATGAATACTTATACATGAATACTTTTACATAAACATTATATGGCAAATTACTACTACATGTTATATGAAGGAATACTCTTACCTGAATACTTATACATGAATACTTATACATGAATACTTATACATGAATACTTTTACATAAACATTATATGGCAAATTACTACTACATGTTATAAGAAGGAATACTCTTACCTGAATACTTATACATGAATACTTTTACATAGACATTATATGGCAATTTAATATTACATGTTATATGTCTAGATACGGTTATATTGTTCGCCTTTCTATCTTTACCTTGTGATTCAATCACATCATCGACGAGGTAGACTGGGACTTTATCTCCTAGTACCACATCATACTTTGAGGGACTAACCATTCCGACAACCACTGCTAGCTACAGAGGTAAATGAACAATCTACGGATGTTCTAGGTTGATACCATCGTGGGTATACATAAGGGACTAACTATTCCTAAACCCGGCTGTTAGCAACAGAGGTAAATGAGCAGTCTACGGATGTTCTAGGTTGATACCATTTCAGGTATACTTAAGGGGCTACTAATAAGAGTTAAACAAGGAAAAACCATCACATTTTCAAGAGATGCGTACTGTCAAAACAGTCAGGTCTAGGTAAAAGACTACTTTCAAAACATTCAAGTCTTGGTAGAAGACTACTTTTATACTAGTAGGAAATATGGGATTTTCTAGAGCTTTTCATACTTATACTAAATGTTTCATCATTCATTTACCAGTCTTTCATATCAACTAATCAAAGTAATGACATTAAACACTTATGAACTCACCAGCTTAAATGCTGATCTACTCTTTCAAAATAACTTGTATTCTCAGGTTACAAATAAACAGGTGTCGATACAAGGTTTAGAGAAGATGGAGCACTCAAGACTCGTCTTTTATTTTGATAAGTTATTATCATATCTTGTACAATGAAAGAAAACACTTGTAACTAAAATTATACTATTGATGCAATGGATGATGTTGTTGCTTGTTTACTACTTTACATTTGTTGTGATGCATACATGACGTCCTCCGCCTCAGAACGTTTCCGCCGTTCGTGGTTTTGGGGTGTGACAGATATTGGGTAATCAAATTTTCAAATGATAAAAATGGAAATGATAATTAACAATTTAAAAATATAGACAATGAAAAAGACAACAAAACGGAAAAACATAGTTATGGTGGGTATATTTTAAGATTTTGACTCTTACTACTACATTATATATTTTTTTGGAAAATATAATTATTTTGTTTTGTATATGTAACTAAAATAAATTAACTAGCAAAAATATATTAAATAATTAATATTTAACTAAATCAAGGATACAAAATTAAATTTTGTTAGAATTTATCGACCAATTGAAAAAACTTACCATTCTAATGGTAGAAAAGTTTTTCAAATAATATTTTATTTTTGAAAGTACTCTTAGGTTTATTAGGCAAGGGTTGTTAATTCTTAAAATAAATGAAAAGTATGTACAAATATTATGTTGTAGAATATTGTTATCGAGATGATTTTTTTAATTAGTACTAGTGATTATCTTATATATCTTCCACTAAATATATATGATGAAATATATTAAATATTCTCTACCTAATAATTTATATAAAAGGGAAATGAATTTATTATATATAATAAATGAATTACTTTTTTAAAGGTAATATAAAGTGGAGACGCAAATCCCATACATCGGAAAAAGTAACGAAGAAATCTATATAAAATGAACAAGATTGTATAAATAAACAAATAAAAAAACTATGGATTCATATGGGGCACTGTGTTTCATACCTCTACTAATGTTGAATGCAATCAACAAGGCAAGGTGGGTCAGCCTTCTGCACTTGTGATGTTGTTGATGTACGCCCTATCTTGACGTTCACTCCACCTGCAACAGCTACAACAATGTACATAGAAAACTGTTTTTCGAGCATCTACCAGTCTAGTTTTTGATATCCATGAGAATGAAGATGCATTAGCGTTGTCAGGAGCTCAGAGAGCTACAAATCATGGGATCCCTTTGTTGTGAACATATTTTTGAACGATTTTTTACTATTGTATACATTTATGAAGGACTTAGATTTTGTTTAAATTTTGACTTACGTGAGCGTTTTGCATGTGTTCCATTATAGTTGCAATAACAAAAGAATGCATATAATGCAAAACTAGAATAACAACTAATTAACTATATAACATTCCGTCTTTTTTTCACTACTACATATTCATTCATGTTGGTACCTCATTACGGCCCTAGTGTGGAAGTTAAAATGACATGTGTCAAATTCAATGAGAAGTTAAAATTTGACAAATATGATTTTTGTGTATTAGGGTAGATATATAAATATATAAATTTATAAAAATAACATATTATGTTTTGTTGATATAAAATTAGATGAATAACTAAAAATTTATAAATAATACTGATTAATAGTATAGATATTAAAAATCAATATTTATAAAAATAGAGAGATAATTCAAATTTATAATTATATGTGTAAAGTAAATTTAAATAAATCACATATTGTTGGACACTAGTCGTCGCTGATCAATATGGCAAGTAGAGAAACGTGTTAATGTCGAAATGTATAATCCTTATATATATATATATATATATATATATATATATATATATATATATATATATATATATATATATATATATATATATATATATATATATATATATATATATATATATATATATATATATATATATATCTGTGTGTGTGTAATCACTTTTTAAAAAAAACGTAGACCCGTAGCCAAAGTTATGGAAATTTTCATGAAACCCCTTTAGTCACATGATCATGGGCCACTATAAACGCAAGGGCCCAATCATCCACAGTAGAGCCGGCATTAGGTACGAACATGAATGAATATGTAGTAGTTAACGAAAGACGAAATATTATATAATTAATTAGTTAATATTCTAATTTTGTGTCATGTGCCTTCCTTTGTTATTGCAACCAGAATGGAACACATGCAAAACACTCACATGTGCCAAAATTGAAACAAAATCAAAGTCCTTCATAAATGAGTGCAACGGTGAAAAATCCTTAAAAAATGCGTAAACAACAAAGGGATCCCACAATTTTTAGCTTTCTGATGTCTGCTCCTGACAGCGCCACTGCAACTTCATTCCCATAGAAATCAAAAACCAGACTAGTAGATGTTTGAAAAACATTTTTCTAAGTACACTGTTGTAGCTGCTACATGTGGAGTGACCGTCAAGGCATGCCTGCATCAACAATAGGTGCAGCAAGCTGACACACCTAGCCATTACTAATCGTAATCAACATTAGCAAAGAGATGAAACATTGTATGAAGCCATATGGTGGTAAAGTGGTGGGAACAATAGAAACATATGGTGGTAAAGAGGTGTTGGGTGAAATTGTAGATGTTTCGAAAGTAGAAGAAATAGCAATCGAAGGATTACCTTGAGCTTCGTTGTTCAGTACTCCTTCACCCTTGTTGACATTTGCGTCCATATTAGATATGTTTGTAGGGATGCATGAAGTTCGAACCTCCTCAAAAACTTATTTGGCATTCGATACTTCGGGTGGTATGACAGTTGTCTCTGCAAGAGTAGATACTTGCGTGTAATCACCTTGATTAATGGTTGTGTCCACAATAGATGTTTTCATAGAGACATCAAGACCTCCAGTCTCCTCAACATTCGAATTGACAGGAGAATCCCTCATTGGTGATGTAACTATCGTATCATTATCATGAATGGATGCTTCAGGTACAACTTCATCTTCGTCTTCATCTTCAATTGGGATCAACCTTTCGAAGCATCCCATCAAGAATTCTTGGAACTTTTGGAAACATCTCTTGATCATCTTCGATGGTCTTGGGAAAATTATATAAAGAGAAATCAGTTGTTTGTTCACCATCAGTGTAACGCCCGCGTTTCGGGGCTAAGCATTATCATATGATGTAATAGTCTAGGTCAACTATTGTAAGTCTTTTGAGATAATAAAGATGAAATATTTGAGTATTATGTGAATTATATGCCTTTATATGCTTATTACTTGTCTATAAATGTGTAGTAAATAAAGAACAAAAATAAGTGTCAAAATTAAAGTGTGAGATAAACCCGATATCTTTATATAAAGTTGTAGGTCGAAACAAGGATTTTGGGGATATCAAGAATGCCGAAATCCGAGTTATAACGAAGAAGTTACGACCCGTCGAAGTTTCGCGACGGAACCGACACGGTACCGGGAAGCGCAAATAGTGAATATACGATAGAGTGACTTTTAGCCTTAGTGATCTAAATGAAAGTTGTATAATATGTTAAAACAAGAGCGTCCATAAAAAGAATGCCCAAATCTGACTTTGTATGAGGAAGTTATGATTTTTCGAAGTTTTAGCTTAGTAGTGTACAACACGAAGTACGAATATTAGATCGAGCAGTTTTTAGCCGACACAACCTAAACTAGAATTGAATATCTTATTAATAGTAGCATAACAGTAAAAAGATAGACAAAAACGGACGTCGGATGAAGAAGTTATGAATTTTTAACAGATCAATCATGTCCCGGCTTGTTAAAAATATAACTTTTAAAATAAATTCAAAATTAGCCAACGGAGTCTAAACGAAAGTTATAGAATACGTTCCCACCTACGCGTTGATATAAAGAAACGTCGAAAACGGGGCTCGTATGCAAAAGTTACGAATTTTATAAGTTGAGTGTGCAATTTGCGAAACCTGATGCGAACTGGATGACGTGGTAGCATCTGGACCGTTGCTTGCTGATCACGGAGAACGCCCAATGTCCGAAGAACGCCTCGCGTCGGAAGGGAACGATGTGTGTACTTCGTATCCTTCATGCGGTCTGAGAAAAAGCCACGTCACCCTACCGAAGCTTCGACACCTGGCAGCCTTATCCAAGACTACGCTCCATGTAGTGTTGTTAAATGCCCAATGTAGGTCCGAATTTCGACCTATAATGCTTCCATCTTTTTCACACCAAAATTCATTCTCTCTGTATTTTCTTTCTCTCTCTAAGGTGTCTACCCCCCCCCCCTAAGCCTAGGTAAACCCCCTGGCACCCGAAGGAAGCCCCGAGACTCCCGAAGTACCGAGAAAAAGGGTCTTTCGGTTCGAAAACATTGCTCCAAGCGAAGCCCGATTTTCTATAAACCCACTGTAAGTGAGCTACGCCTACGCTATTTTAAATATAGCTTTTATTTTAATATAATGCCGTTATTATGAACTTATAAATAAGATTTATTAGTAATTCAAAGTCGTTATACTTATTGATCTACTTACGAGAATGATGTCTAGGCTGTGATTTATTGAGGTGCTTAAAGTGCGATTTCCAAACAGTATACTTTATATACTAAACAGACCCTACCTCCGATATGACCCTACCTGGTTGTTCCTTACTTGATAGATCATGAAGTAGACTTTGAATTAATGATAAATCTAGACTATTAATTAGTCTCGGTGAATATTAAACTAAACCATAGTGGTAATGATACTAGGTTTTATCAAGGAAAAATTGTTTTAAGAGTAACGAAGTGTTGTCCAAGTACCGAGTCACCACCTTATCAAGTGAGTGCATAGTTACTTTCATCTTACTTATAGATATGACGAATTTTATATAAATTACATGTTTTATGTGCATATTATCTATATACTTGCTATCTGTGCTGGATGAAAAAATTTATACATGTTTTAAATGATTTAAACTGTATATGTATTTTATATATACAAAATGTGTTGGGTAAAACATGGGTAGATGTAATACTTGTTGTGTGACAAATTAAAATAATGAGAGGCCTCATTATAAATGTTATTGATGATCCAGTCATCTAGCAGAGTATAGATGACAACCACGGACTATTCTACACAGTCCAGTGGAACGCTAGAAGACTCGCAACTTGTAGGTGTTTATTTGAACTGTGTGCTCACCAGCAGTACTCCATCCCCCACATCGTTGCCTTATTTGACATAAATTGTTGATGAATCCCCGAAGCATGTGTTGTCACTCCAATGAAAATCCTTAGGCTAGGTCCCTTATGTTAGATGTGTTAGGGACGTAAAGTGAGGATAACGGGAACGGATAATCGGGTTTGTTTGGTTGATGAAAATAATAAATTTATTTATTGTGGGTTGAAAACCCTATGTGCTCACCAGGCTCCCAAGCCTGACCCACTCAGTTTCTTGCATTACATGTAGTGGCGCATGAGCATAGTTGTTTGGATGAGAGATAAGGGATTATAGGTCTGTAAATACAAAATAATGTAGTAAGGCTTATGTTATATTGTTTATGCTTTTGATCTGTATCGAACGTGACATCCCAAGTCGTTTAATGAAATACATTTCTACGGAAATGATTTGATAAATCTTTATCATATTTTGTTTTTGGAACAAATTCCGCAACTCTTTTATTTTAAAATGTTACTCTGATTTTTAAACAAAGCATAAACAAATCGGTCTTTTCTGGCAATGAAAATGGGGATGTCACAGTTGGTATCAGATAATTAGTTTAAGCGAACTAGGAATTTGTAGGGTTTCTAGACTTAAACTTAGAATGATAAGAGATGATTGTGAGGTGTGAGCACTAGCTTATTTTAGGAATTATGCCTAAAATGTTTTTATGTGCTAAATGCTTTGTGCCTAATATACTATTATTTGTTTGGATCTATGGTCTGTTGCCGACCGAATCTGGAAACCTTATGTGTTTAGGATTTTAAATGTACGACTACGATATTAGATCTAACATGTAAATCTTTCGGAGGGATAAGGCTGATTAAAGTAAAGATCTAAATTCAGCTTATTCAATATATAGATCAAGATGGCAAGAACCCGCAGTGGAGCCGGGAATGCAAATGGGAACAAGAATCAACCACTAGTGATTGAACAAATACCTATTGTAGCAGATGCTCCTGAGCTAATTACAATGGTCGCAGAACAAGCCATGATACGGGCTATGTTGGCTGAACAATGGGAAAAGATGAGGCAGATGTTGCATGAAAATAGGGACGAACCTACGATGCCAGTTGAACACCCCGAATTAAACGATGGGAAGTCAGAAATACGGAACTATAGTGGAACCGTTGGTCAAGTCAAACCACCAATAGTTCTTCAAAACAACCAGGATGATGGAGTCGAGAGGATTGGATGCAAGTACAAGGATTTTCTGACTTGAAAGGCATCGACTTTCACTAGAAAGGAAGATCCGATCGGAGTCATGGATTGGATCTCAGAAATGGAGTTAGATTTCATGATGTGTGGTTGCAGAGTCAAGATACAAACCACCTTTGTTGTACGTCAGTCCAGGGAGGCACTGTGTGTTGGTGGAATACCCTAGGGAAGACTCTGAGCCCCAATGAGCCCCTGCAACTGACATGAGCAGGTTTTTGGTGCAATTCAAACGCAAGTACTCCTCAGCCCAAAACCTGCTCGAGCTAGAGAGCCAATTACTGACCTTGAAGAAAGGAAGCATGTCGATTGATGAATACACCAACAACTTCACAGAGAAGATGGAGTTCTCCTTGCGCCTTGTTCTGGATGAGATAAAAAAAATCGACAAGTACCCAAAGGAACTTCCATGGGAGTATGCGGTGCCAGTGCATCAGGCACCTACTTTGGAGGTAGCTATCTGGGTTGCCAAATCTGTGGAGGATATGATTAAGGGAAGAGCTACCAGCAAGGTTGAGGTTGGTGAGAAGAGGAAGTTCGAGGGTTCTGCAAAGCCCAACAATAAGAAAATCAAGTCTGGTTCAAGAAAGTTCGGAGGAGGAAATGAAGCGAAGTGGTGCAAGAAGTGCAAAAAGAAGCACTCAGGGAAGTGTAGCGAGGAAGTGACCTGCTACAAGTGTGGGAAGATGGGGCATTACGCCAATGAGTGCACCACCACCAAAAGGGTGTGCTACAAGTGCCGTGAGGAAGGGCACATTGCAAGGGATTGCCCGAAGAAGAAAGAGGCGACAAGGCCCAACATTCCACCAAAGCCGAAGGCGAGAGCCTTCCAGATGATGCTCGAGGCTGCAAAGGAGGCAGCGGACGTCGCTTCAGGTACCTTTCTTGTAAATGCTTTGCTTGCCAATATACTGTTTGATTCTGGAGCAAACTACTCCTTTGTTTCACATAAGTTTGGTGGGAAACTAGCATTACCTGTAGAAAAACTTGATAATGCCCTAATTGTAGAAGTTGCCAGTGGAAAATTCATACCTGTTAGTAATCGTATTAGGAACGTAGTCATCGACTTAAACAGAAACGAATTCCATGAAGAGTTCTTGCGCATAGAGTTGAACGGTTTCGACATCGTTCTGGGAATGCATTGGCTTAGCGCCAACAATGCCGAGATATTCTGTCGAAAGAAGACAGTAAGGGTAAATCACCCTGGAAAGGAGTCATTTATGGTGTACGGGGACAAACGCAGAGTGAAATCTGGAATCATCTCCCTAATGAAAGCCAGAAAATGTTTATCCAAAGGATGTGCATCATATTTGGAATTTGTGATCGATGCTAAGAAGGAAAAGAAGGAGGTGCAGAATATACCAGTGGTATGTGACTATCAGGAAGTCTTTCCCGAAGATCTTCCTAGATTACCACCTGATAGACAAGTAGAGTTCAGAATAGACTTGTTACCAGGAACATCACCGATAGCAAAAGAACCATACCGGTTAGCACCGACAGAGATGAAGGACCTCATGACGCAACTTCAGGAGTTATTGGACAATGGTTTCATTCGGCCTAGTTCATTAACCTGGGGAGCTCCAATGTTACTCGTGAAAAAGAAGGACGGAAGCATGAGAATGTGTATAGACTACTGAGAGCTGAACAAGGCAATGTAAAGAACAAGTATCCATTGCCAAGGATCGA